TATCCTTTTTATAAGGACTGATGACCCTTGGATTACCTTACAATTAAAGTAATTAAAAGTTGACTCTAGCATAATAAAAGTAACAAATAACTTAAATGATGCAATTTGATCTAATTGATGCAATTTACCATAATAATGCAATTTCACCATAATTGATGCAATTTGAACCAATCCCCCTAATTATGCAAGATTGCAAGTGGACCCCACTTCACCTAACATGTGCCAAATCAAGGATTGAGCTCTAGAATCCTCTTTCCCACACCTTTTATACATTTTAAAAGGGTGCTGCCATTGTCCTCTACTTGCTGTCACTGTTCTCTACCATACTTCTGCAAGGTCATACATTTGTAGTAAAGAAGGAATGAGGACAAACTTTTCTCTTTCACCAATAATAAAGTTAACACATGTTTCTGATGCCTTTACATTTTCTAGATGCTGCCAGCTTGTAAATCAATGCTTCCCATTTTTATGAGTATACATCAATGTTACCTCCAGAGTACGTATATTTGCAGTATATTGGGTAATCTGACACTCCTGCATTCGTTTCCTAAAAGTTCCTAGAGGCAAATTTCATAACTAGGAACCATCTTCCAATCATTCTTCCTAATCTCTAAACACAAACACCGAAGTAAGACAAACCATCTTTCCACTTATGACAGTGTCAACTATGTACGGTATTCTTAATTTCAATAAACAAGATGAAACTTATTTCCTTGTTTGCAAACTAAACTTATTTCCTTGATTTGTCCAACAGTGCCATCAGAAGAAACTTATTTCCTTGTTTGCAAACTAATCAAACCAAAACCACTTCCAAGAAATTCATCAAAACATGTCTCCCAATCAATGTTATCAAAAGCCCAAGGCACAGTAAAGCGCTAGAGGTCCTTCGGAGTCTAGGTGCAAGGCAAGGTGCGTGCTTGACTAAAGCGAGGCGCACAATTGAAAAAATTAAATAACTATTAAATCATTGATATTCCATATTAAAAGCGCAAGTTATGTCAAAGGCACGCCTGGGCACACAACAGACGCAAGTGTTGCGCCTCTATGAGCCTGGAGCCTAGGCGCGCCTTTGACAACCCTGCTCACAATTCACAAAAAAGGGGCTCAGAAAGCAATAGTAACAAATCTGATTACAAATTCATATTAATTTGACCCACAGTCACCGCTCACAAATATCATCCTGAATTAGTTGAACTAACTAATTTCAGTTTCTCCTAAAGAGAGATAACAAATGCAACTGCTACTCATAAAATTTCTACTGAAATCAACTGCAAACAAGCACCATTGACTTCACCACCGCACTTACATATGACTATATAGTTTTGAACTATATATTCATCCTAAATACCGAGCATGATAATGAACAAAGTGATCCAAAGAAAACTGTTGCCTCCTTTCCAACTCTAGATATAAGCTAAACCCACACGTTACTGAAAAGACCAACTCCAACACGCTTGAAGTAATGTCTGAACACAAGACAAAAAAAGCCACTGTTTCAACTCATCTGATCTGTTGTATTGAAGTTTCTCCTTGACTGATAATTTTTGTACAAGAATCCAGGCAATGATAACACATCATCACACGCTAAGTAAATGAGTATCTCAAAAGTCGCAAGGTACCCATGACAACATCAGAACATCAATCAAAATATGCATCAACTGGTATATAATTTTTTTCTTCCCTTTAATATCCAATATTTAGCTGAGATGAAGAAAATTTGCTAGAACTTCTCTAAATAAGTGGTCAGTTCCAGCGAGAAATGGACAATCAATAAATTTGAACTAACCATGTTAAACTCCGTTTAATACATACACTTCTTTTTTCTCAACAGTACGTTGGAAACCTCCAAACCACAGGCATTTTCCTTACCCAAACTTCGAAAGGGATCAAACACCTACACACACCCTGAAACCCAACCCATGTTTTCAAAGTAAATATATCATAAAACACATTTTATCGGTTCTCATAAAAACTGATTTTTTATCAACAGTAAGAATCAAACACATATCTCACCAATCCCTCTTAGAAACCATGACAGCATTTAACCACTTGTTACAATGGCTTTGGCAATTCACATGAGGGCTATTCATTGCATAGACTTTATACTAGCCAGATCAACACCTAGAGTCCTAGACTAACCCTGGAGGCGAACACAAATATCTAAGTCCATGTTGCATAAGAATTCTCATGAGGACTATGAATCCTCAGTAAAATAATGCATTTAAAACAGCTTCTCCAACAGCTTCAACTAGAAAAGCTATCAATGGTCCGCATCAAATTTCCAGAACCAGGAAACTCAAGTCTAAAGTCGGTGAAGTTCATCAAGAAACAATTGAACCTTCTCTACGGCTCTGAATAAACTTCTTCAGCATTGCATTATTCAACGTAGCTGTGTAACAAATCTCAATAAGAAGTCACGGTTACATCCTATCTCAGATAAACATGAGATTCACCCCAAAAAAAAATCATAATCAAAGGGAAAAAAAAAAAAAAAAGAGAGAGATTACTCCGTCAATGCAAAAGATTTAGAGGTTATATCATATTGTAGTTCGTCTCAAATCTTATACTGCTTTGAAATCTCTAAAAAATATAATAAAGTAATTTAGTAAAAGATAAAAAGCAAATACAAGAATATTATCTAAGAAAGAAGCACAAGCAACTGTTAACCCATATAACCATCCAAATATCATATTGCAGTTCGTCTCAAATCTTATACTGCTTTGAAATCTCTAAGACTATCATAAAGTAATTTAGTAAAAAGATAAAAAGCAAATACAAGAATATTATCTAAGAAAGAAGCACAAGCGACTCTTAACCCAAATAACCATCCAAATTCAGCCTCAAGTTAGGAGCATGAAAAACAATTATTACACAATAGCAAAAGCAAAGGAGCTCCATCAGCAAGTCCAATGAACAAATACCTTAACTAAGTTAATTATGACTAAACTGCTAGAGTTTTCTAGAATTACAATTTGAGACATGCCATGCAATTGGTTCACGTGGACTGTCACAATCTAAAATCCTCGAAGCAATAACAAGCTGTCTGCAACAACTTTATGCAACTTGATATTACAAGCCTTTGACCAATCAACTGGAATTTAGTAGAACCCACAAGAAGACAGCGCAGCTCTTAGGCAAAATTGAGTTGTAATAATAAGTTAAAATTTGGAGCTGCCGATGCCGTATTTGTTTATAGAAGTTTTAGTAAAATCGCTGTAGATTTTTCTTTATTGAAGGTTTTGACATGAACATCTATGTCATAATTGTGATCATAATCGATAAAAAGAGATTTTAAACTAAGTCTATATTTTGGGGTTCCACAAGACCTATAAAAAGAGCTCATAACTGTGAAACAAAATTAGCCCCTACTAGATATAAAATATGCTTGTAAGGAAAATAATAACCCCCACCTCTGTTCTTATATTATTGGAAGAGTTGGAAGTCACTATCCACCCTCACCCACTTTTTCTCATAAATACAACATACAAATCTGTGTTCCAACTAAAACTTGAACCTTGCACCTCCCTGTTAGGGATAACAAGAGAGACACACTCAAGCTAACAATTGACATTGTCTCTATTACTTTCATTCCTGTCATATGTTCACTCACACTCAAGCTAACAATTGACATTGTCTCTATTACTTTCATTCCTGTCATGTTTTCACTCTCCTCTTTCTTTATATACTTTATCCTCATGTATCCCGCTTTTTTATTCTTTTATGGTAAAAGCATACCATTAAAGAGCACAAAATGATGCACAACACGTCTACATGCATCTTAGACCCAAAAAAAACTGTATCGCGTGTAAAGAAACAAAAGTATCCAAATTCTCTCCAACATACAAAAAAAAAATCTAACGGGACGATTCACCTTTCCTCTCGATGTTAAAATTCCTCTTTCTTAAATAAAAAATTATGCGATATAGTTGTACCTTTTCTTGGTGCTTAACTGCTTATAAAGTTCTACAGATCTTCATATATGTAAAATGAAAATAGCCCCATACATACGTATTAGGAGGCTTTCAAGTCACATTTATGCTCTCTCTCTAATCTTCTCCTCTCTCAATTTGTCTTCCCTCCTCTCCCAGAAAACCCTTTTCTTCTCCTATTTCTCTCTTCCTATTACTGTCTTCTGAATTCCTCACTCTTCAATTTTAAAATGAAAAAAGCCATACGTATTAGGAGGCTTTCAAGTCACATTTATGCTATCTCTCTCTAATCTTCTACTCTCTCCCTTTGTCTTCCCTCCTCTCCCAGAAAACCCTTTTCTTCTCCTATTTCTCTCTTCCTATTACTGTCTTCTGAATTCCTCACTCTTCAATTTTAAAATGAAAAAAGCCATACGTATTAGGAGGCTTTCAAGTCACATTTATGCTATCTCTCTCTAATCTTCTACTCTCTCCCTTTGTCTTCCCTCCTCTCCCAGAAAACCCTTTTCTCCTCCTATTTCTCTCTTCCTATTACTGTCTTCTGAATTCCTCTCTTCAATTTTCTCTTTCTTCTTTATAGCAGACACCTATTTCCTTTCCTTTAAGGGTACTAAAAGTTAGATAACTTACATCCACTATATCAGCAACACTTATCAATGTCCTTTCAGGTTGGAGGTAATAAATTTCAAACATCAGTAGTCTCCTGTTAAACATACATAATAATGATCTACATGTAGAAGCAACTATTACAACACAACATATACCATTGTCTATGGTCATAATAATAAAGTCAGTGCCATTACCCCTGCAGAGTTGGCATTTGTCAGGTCAGTTCCATGTAAATCATTGAATTAGATTGCAGTAAACAAGTCTGATCATGTTTCAACTTAGCTCACCTAATCCATGTCAATGTTTGAAAATAGCCCGTGTTACTCCACTTACAACAAAATTCTCACACTTCCCATTGACCCACAACCAAAATTTTAAGCAGTTATACCAAAGAATGCACCATGTGTACAAAAAAAAAAAAAAAATCTATACTTAAAAATGAAGCATGAATTCAATTCCTACCTCAAGATGCTGTGCCGCTTCAGCAGTCAAACCAACAGTTGCAGCAGCTAATCCAATCAATCCTCCCTAAACAAAATTGCAACAAAGCTAATCAAAATTCAAAGCATCAATACCTAAGCAAAGGTTCATACCAATTTATATGATCCGCCAATACACATATATAAAGAAAATGAAATCAGGTAAGCATCTAAACACTCCCATTCCATTCTCATCAACTAACCTTCCTGTGATTCGCTTGCGGCGAGTACGTGAACTCATTAGTCAACAAGTTGATCACAGCCATGATTTTATCATGATCTCCAGCCGCCGCTAGCTGCTTCACGATTCCTTCCACCTGCACAATACTCTTCCAACATCAAGATCCGGTGAAACAGAGAAGAACTACTCAAAAAAACCCATTTCTGCACAGTAGAGAGAGAAAGTTGTAGTGAGAGAAAGAGAGACCTCAAGGGCAGCATTCTTCCGCTTCTCGTACAGCTTGTCGGAGAGGTTTCGGAGAACGGACGCGGAAATCACAGAGAGCGCGTCGGCCATAACAAAAACCCTAAATTTCTCTGAATCGGTTGAGAAATATGTATGTATATATTTAGATATATTTGTCAAAGTAGCCGTTTTCTGATCTTCTCTTGCTCGAATCGGAACATCTCTGATGGATACATATACATATATTTATATATAGATATCTATATATATATGTAAAGTTGTATAAATTATATCGAAAAATACGTTTTCTGATTTGCCCTAAGAATGAATCGACAGATCTGATGAAATTGGAAATCGAGACCTAGTTCGGTTGCGAAGGTGTTTCCTTTTAGGGGTGTTTGGTTTTTATTTTGGACTCGCCGTCGCTGGGTTTAACGGTTAGATGGTCTCGGCCACAGTGCGCTGAAACTTTGGAGATGATTACAGAAACTGCCATTGGGAGTTTTGATGTATCGTTTTATTTTTAGTATTTGCTTTAATTTTCGGCGGTATATGAGGTAAAAACCTCATCTTACAAGAGTAACAAAGTCAACAAAGTCGTGCTTAGTACTGACCAAAACCCAAAACCAGAAAAGTATATATAAGTAAAAGTCAACAATGTCCAATTTTGAGCTATTGGATAAATTTTTGTTTTTATAATTTTTTATCGGATAAATTTTGGTTAATATGATAATCTCTTAACCATCCAAATCTATAATCAATTAGTCATTAATACATAACATATATTATTTTTATATATATTATATGCCCTTCAATTGGTATCTAATTGTGTTAAAAAAAAATTTGGCATGTAATTGATGGAAAATTAATTTAAAATATTGTTTGCATAATATTTAATATGTAGTATAATATTAAACTTTTGAGTTAATCAATTTTACTTCATTTCACTCTTAATTTTCTCCTTTTTTTATACATATTTTGGCTGTTTTCTCTCTTTTTTTTAATTTTTTATTACATTTTAAAATTTTAACAAAAACATTACCTCTTAACATATCTTATTATTATATTAGATTTGACAAACCACAAAATGAGATATGATTCAATAAGAGATAATCTTTTTATTATTAGATAAAATCGGAATAAAATTAGATTTAAAGTAAATTCATTCGATTCACAAGTCTACTTATACCTACATTAAAAACACATGTCATGACATGTATTGTCTTATTATTTCAATTAAATTTATATATTCTCTTACAATTAATTTTCAATTAAAACCATAGATGTCCACATTATCCGTACAATACTTATCACCATTATCCGGAAATCACAATGATAATCCACATTGAATAAAAAATAATATCTAAATATATATTAAAGGTTTATTTTTTCTTGTAGTACCGTAAAAGTTTTAGACTTACAAAAGGAAAATTTTGGATCGGACATGAGAATTGAGAACAGCGAGGGCTAGTTTTTTCATCCCAATATCAACATGATCAAGGATTATCATTTTTTAAAAAATTATCCTTGAAAAGAGAGATTAACACTACTTTCCTCTCCTTTCCTTTCTTGTAATTTAATCATTTCCATAATTTTTTACCCTATCCAAAATTCCAAATGTTGTAGAGATAACAAATAAATAATAATAAGATAATTTTCTGACAATATTTTGAAAAAAAGAAAAGAAAAAAAAAAAAAAAAAAAAAAAAAGTTACTTCTCTTTATTCACATTCATCAATCAAGGTTTCTTTATTTGCATTCATCAATCAAGGTTTTATCATTCGTGTGGCCCCGAAGCATAAGTAGACTACCACACTAGGCGATTTTACAGGTGCATAATCTCACATTGTTCGAGTATGAAAAAGAAAAGTGTTATACATAAATTTAATATTCTTCTATGACATAATGCGTCTTACAACCGTGATAGCATTGGTCAATAACCAAAACAATCCATTGAAATACATTATTAAAAACATCAAAAGTCTAAGAAAATTTTCACAATTTGAAAATTCATTATTGTTCAATGTGTCAAAATAGAAAGGAAATCTATTTGTCAAAAACATCATCAATTCTATTAATTTCTTTGAAATTCTGTTCAATTATCATTCAATTAAAAAATCTAGCTCTTAAGTTTCAGTATGCGCTTGTCAAAAACACCACCTCATTCTCCATGGTACAAAATCCAAGTAAGTAGTTGCATCACACACGTCTCCAATTTAGTGTGCTAACAAGAATATAGGAAAGTGGATAGGGTAGGGGTCCAGTTCTTTATGGTTTGTGAAGTTGCCTTTCGGTAAAAGCAGGGTAATCTTAAGAACTTATAGTGAAAAAAAACAAAAACGAAAACGAAAAAACAAAAAATTGAATATCATGTTATATAAATATTGAATATTCACAATACCATCCCTAAACTAGAGATAAAATGAAAATCGTTTTCCTCTAGGACATTTTCTCTAAAATTTATAGGAAATCTATACCTAGTTTTAGTAACTTTACCCGCATAACAGGAGATTGAAGATCAAGTTACCACTGCATAAAATAGAACAACTTCCCACAATAATGAGCATTGCTAGCTGGTTAAATCATCTTCCCTATTGTAGGTGCAAAAATTCACTTAACTAAAAGAGTTAAAAGAATAAATACAACTCACTCAAGATAAAATAACAATTAACAAGAATTATTCAGAGAAAAGAGTATATTGCTCGATGATCTTTATTAGAGATCTCTGCCTCTATTTATACACAAAAAGATAGTGATATTATGGTAGGATTCGTCTTGTTTGTCCTCCAATTCATTCCATATACAATTCTTTACTTACAAACTTATTTCCTTCTATAATTCTTTCCTTGCAAGACTCTTCTTACGCAGGATTTCCTTATATGAAGAATCCTTGATGAAGGAGGACTCAATTAACCTGATTGGGCTGGATATTTATATTAATTAGGGCGAACAAATCCTTGGCGGGCTAAGGGGTTACTATTAGCTATTTTGGACTATTACTAACCTTGCCTGGGCTTGGTCATAGTTAGGCTTCGATAGGTTATGAGATTATGCCTTTTCTTTTTAAGTGACGTAGATGATTTTCATTGGAGGGGTATTTTTCCCTCCACACTTTGCCCCTAATTCTCTTCTTAATTGAACTACGGCTCCTAATTAGAGGGAATTGAAGTTACACAGTTGCCAATTTTGTAAGAGAGGGTTCAAGAAGTGACCATTGACATTCTGACCAAAGGGCTTCTTCAAAAATCACTTTCGTCTTCTCTACACTCACTGCGTTTCATTGCTTCGTCATGATTCTAGGTTGGTTTCTCATCTACCTCTCGTATTTCATATCATGAGTACTTCATCCTCCCACGACCACATAGAGATTATGGACTCCGAATCCACGCCTTCGTCTTCTCTCGTTCTTCTTAGAGTTCCTCCTCCTAGGGTTTCTATTCTGAATCTGCAAATGATTCTGTCGAGAGAGTGGATGATTCTCTACCCCAAGCAGAAGTATCCACTTCCAGATCAGATAGTATTTTCTTAAAAAAAAAGAATGAGAAATGATTCTGTTTGTCTGGCATATCAAGTTCACCATTGATTCTGTTGATCAAATTACCCTAATCCATTTATTTTGATGATAACAAATCATTTAAAGAGGTTTTATATACTAATGTTTCAACTGAGTTTAAATGCAAGGAAAATGAATGTTTCTTTATAGAAGGGAAGAAAGGAACTTCATGTCATCATATGGACTCGGATGCACATACTTAAAGCATCTAAAGGCATCAAGAAGAAGGGTAGATAGGATGGAGAACTATAGGAAATGATGGAATTAATTTAAGCTCAATCTCACTAAAATCATGCATACCAGGTGTACTCAATAATATTCAAAGTATCAAAATATAATATTGACAAAGTACAACAGAAAATGGCTCAAAACAGCACGATCAAGCAATTCACGTCAGCTGGTTTAATGCATATGTCAACTGGTATCTAGGCAGTAGCAAAATTCAAGGAGGAGCTCATATACATCGACTGGTTTGATGCATATGTCGACCGGTATCTAGGCAATAATAAATTTCAAGAAGAGACATTTTCATGTCGACTGGCTCAAACATACATCAACCGGTTCATGAAAGAATACGTCGACCGATTTGCAGCTAACATCGACCGGTTCATGCCAAAATGTCAACCGATTTATGCCACATGTCAACCGGTTTGGTCGCAGCTCTGCAGATTCGAATCTCAAACGGCTAAAATTTCATTTAATGCTCCCAACCACCTGCAACAGCTATATTGGGCTCGAAATCTCTACAAATACAAAAGGTTGGTCTGAAGATAAATATACTACTTGAGAGAGAATTCAATAAGATCATCCAAGTGCATTCAAGAGCATCCAAAAAAAAAGCCCAATATTCTGATTTGAGCATTTACTTCTCATTTCTTCTCTCATATCAGTTTAGAGACTTGAGCTTCATTTATTTCATCCATTTACTCTAGTGTGAGATTGATTCATGTAACATTTTCTAGAGAGAGAGAGAGAGAAAAAAACAATCTTGTAACTTTCATTTTTATCTCTACAATCTTGTAGGGGTTGGTGTGACCCAAAAGGAAAGCCTAGGAGAAGGGTATTCACTTAGCAAGGAAGAGAAGCAAGGTCTTGCTTCAATTGAATGTTTGCTCTCCATCATTTAAGGAAAAGCTCTAATGACTTTGGAAAGTCTCAAGGGGGACCTTGAGCCGAGGAATAGGAGTTTTCGAACCTCGCTAAATCGCCGAATCATTGTTTGCAATTTCCTATCTCTATCTCTTTTTACTTATGCTTATATTGCTTGAATATTTCAATTGATTATTGCATAATAGTTAGTTGGAAATAAATTTTATAAATTGCAAAAATTGGCCATTGACTCTATTCACCCCCCCCCTCTAGAGTCAATTAGTGGTTAACAATTGATATCAGAGCTTAATCTCTAGAAAAAGATTTAATCATCTTACAGAACGATCATGGCAATACAAATTTTCATCAAGAATGTCAATCTAACAATAGACTTCCTTGGTTTGACGGAAATGATTACAATTATTGGAAAATCAAAATAAAAGCATTCCTAAGAGGCTTAGATATAGATGTTTGGAAAGCCACCGAACAAAGAGACTAAATTCCAACCAAAATAGTAGATGGTGAAAAAGTTCCTATAACTGATATTGAATGGACCCTCAATGACCGTAGGTTTGTACAATGTAATGTCAAGGCCATCACTAATCTCTATTGTGCCTTAAGCAAAGACGAATTCAATAGAGTTTTGGATTGTGAAACGGCCAAAGAAATTTAGGATAAACTTGAGGTTACCTATGTAGGTACTAGTTACATTAAGGAATCTAAAATGAATATGTTCGTCCATAAATATGAACTTTTTACCATGAACAACAAAGAAACTATTAGTGAAATGTACTCTCGTTTTACTAACATTGTGAATCCTTTGAAGGCTCTTCGAAGATCATATACATCATCTGACAATGTGAG